AAAAGTTTAACTAACTAATAGTTATTAGTCTAGAAGTAGGTAAGTTTAGTTGTAAAAAAATTTAAAAAAAAAAATTACATACTTTTTTTTTTCATGGTTTGGTATTGAAACAATTTATGCAGTAAAATTATATTCAATATAAATATTTATCCATCATCTTTAGGTGAAGATGGCCCATCCCAAATGGCTCTGGAAGATCTGGCTATGTTTCGGTCTCTTCCAAACGCAACTGTCTTCTACCCCAGTGAAGCAGTATCAGCAGAACGAGCATGTGAACTGGCTGCACAAACCCAGGGAATCTGTTTCATTCGTACTTCTCGGCCAGCAACTGCCGTACTCTATTCAAATGATGAAAAATTTGAAATTGGAAAAGCAAAGGTGTATTACTTAATTAAAAAAGAAAAGTGAAAAGTTTACATTAGAACTAGTATAATTGAACAATGCATTATTATTGGTTTTAGTGGAAGTGTGTTCTGTTTCACTGGGAAACATACATTTATTACAGTTTAATTAGGTGTCATTTTTATTGTCGGTAGAATAGTATTAACTAGAAAAACATTCTGTTCATTCTTATGAGTTTTTATTCTTGATATCATAATCAATTCAACTGAAAATAAATTTGTTTACACATTTTATTAAAATCCATTACCATTTTCTAGATAAAATTACATGCAGTATTCATTATTGTTCTTCAACACCTTGATTTGAATAGATCAGTGTTTGCAAATCAAACTAATAACTCTTGTGATCTTGTGTAACTGTTTCGGTCATGTAGAGAATAATTCTATCAAGAGAGTTTGTCTCTTCAAATAGTTTATGAGCTAAAGATAGTGCTTCATTTCTTTAGAACTACATATGGCTTGTACTACAAATACCAACTTGAATATTGGTTTCGAAAGTAATTATTATTTTAATCAAGCAGTTTTTATTCCGTTGCCCATGAGAAATCACTGTCATATTAACTGTTCTATAATTTTCTCAATGAGTTAAACCAGTCACACATTAAAAAAAGAACATCTACAGCTTTAGTTATTTCCAGCCTTGAACTTAAACTAAAAAATGACATCACTGCTAAAGAATGATTAGATCTCCAAAATATTATATATAAACTGTATGTTTATAAGTATATCTGCATTCTTGTTAAGAGCAGAGTATCTATCTGATTTACATTGATAAAAATGACTACAAAGCCTTTTGTTACTATAATCAAAATATTCTTCTTCAACCTCAGGTGGTAAAGAACAGTGATAGTGACCAGGTGTTGGTGATTGGTGCTGGTGTAACTCTTCACGAGGCACTTAAAGCAGCAGACCAACTGGCACAACAAGGTATCAACATTCGAGTAATGGATCTGTTCACCGTGAAGCCAATTGACAAAACGGGAATCCTCAAGAATGCAGCCGAGTGCGGAGGAAGGATTATTACAGTGGAGGACCACTATCCTGAAGGTGCAGCCATCATGAGAGATTAGCTTTAAGTTTCAAGAACTAGTTAGAAGAATTCAAACTATGATTTAATATAATATACGATCTTTAGGTTTTTTTAGAGAAAATGCATCAGTAAGTCAGCATTATGGATTTATTTTATATTTACTATTTTATATCACAAATGTTAACTTCCAATGCTTAAATGTAAACTGTAGTTATTTGTTCATTATTTTGACCTTATTTTAAGAGTCCTGTCAACATTTGTATAATTGCTTTGTACTAATGTTGCTCTAGTAACAATGTATTACATTTCCTATTGTAGCAAATTGAGAGGCATTTAACTTTATGAATGAAAGTAACTAATTATTATAGTTTGGAGTTAATAACATCTTTGTTTGGGACACTCTTATTCAATAAACATTTGTCGGTTCACTGGTATCTAGTGAAGATGTGAATAAGCCTTTTTTCAGTATTTTAAAAATATTATTGGTTTATAACACAGCATGCATAATATTTCTTAGGGGGCCTGGGAGATGCTGTTAGTGAGGTGGTCTCCATGGAGAGGAACATCATTCAGAAACGCCTTGCAGTGAGAGACATCCCTCGCAGTGGTCCACCTGATGTACTGTTGGATATGTTTGGAATCAGTGCCAAGTGTATTGAAAAAGCTGTAAAGGAAATTTCTACTATGTGAATGCCTACCAGGTAAAATTTCAAGACAACTTCTGTTCTATAAATATATTGGTAATTTAAGTAGTAAAAAGAATTGCAAATACATCTTTAAAATGTTGATTGTAACAACTTATCCTTAGTTTTAACATCCGTTCAGTCTGGTGGTGAGCCTATGTTCTTGTAAGGCACTACACGAAAGAGGTTTAGATATTTTAAATACTATAGTTTTCACTAAAGTACTGGTTATTGCTTTTTGGGAAATTATATGCATGTGTTTGTCAACATTTTAAAGACCTTTCTCTGTAGAAACCAATTGTTGAACTGAATGACATAACTTTTTGATTGTTATTTTATATTTGAACTTAATTAAAGAAAAATAAGACTCATAATTTAATTTTTTTTTTGGTGTAGTTGGTGAAGTGCACAAGTGTAAAAAGCAATTTAGTAGATTTGTGTGTTATTGGTTTTCATTGACTGTAGTATTTTTTTCTTTCTTCAGGATATTCATCAATCTTTGAAGCCAGCTTCTACTTGGATTACAGTTGTTAGCAAATATTAACTACAGCAAATGTGGTTTTAGTTTGACGAAATGTTTTATTTGAACAAAGCACTAGAATTATGTTTCCTGTTGTATTTTCCAGATTGTCAGTAAATCTTTAGAAAAAGTTGTAGGTGGCCAAACAATGGTGCATTCCATACATATGTGAAGAAAGCAGTTCAAATGTTGCACAAATAAACTTAAGTGATGCTTTGATGTAGTTGTTTCTTTTTGTTACATTAAACATACAAGGGTAAAAAAAAAAATCTTAAAACCACTTCCACACTGTTGATAATGGACGTTTGGAGACACTGAATTATTCTTTTAGAAATTTGTTGAACTTCTTTAGAAACTCTGTAATGTAACTTTGACACACTTTATCTTCTAGCTTTTTTGTGTTGTAAAAGTTCTGAAATTAGGCAGACGTTTATCGTTACTCATACCAGTGGTTCCCAGTCTCTGGTCTACAGTTAAGTATTAAGAATCAATGAAAATGAAAAATATAATTTTTTTACTTATAAAAATTTATAAATTTAATTAAAATCAAACCCTCTGATAGCATTGTAATTAATAGTCTGCAAAACTGTATATGCAACTGAACTAGTTGTTGTTGTCGAAAATGTTCAACTACTTGTTTCTACCATCTAGATTTCTGTCTAAGAAATATTTGTAGGTACTTACACAACTTTCTGTAATGTTGTCATGTTCTATAATTGACAGCCACAAAAGCATTTTAACTACATATCATGATTCATAATATTCAAATATATGATCAGTGAATGACATGTCCCCTGGTGGCTCAGCAATCAGCTTGAGTTTATAAGTCAGGATTAGAGTCCTATGTGGACACAACACAGTTAATCCACTGTGCAAGAAGAAGAAAAAAATAAAGTTTCTCACTTTATCTTAACATGACATTTTTGATGAATAGTAGATGCTAAATAAATCTTTCTTCAGTACAAGTAAATCATTGTGAAAGTGTATGATGATAACCAGTAAGAAAAAATATGAGAATAAATTAAAAATTTAAGGACAGAATAAATACATACACTAGCCTTCACTGAATCTAGAAACTTGGCAGCACCATTAGTGGACAACAAAACTTGAAAGTTTTTTACAGAAATTTGTAGATGAATAATTGGAGGACTGAAGTTTTATATAAAAAGAGAGAAGAAAGCTAATTAAAAATCTAACAGACATATGAAAGTAGTTTTCTAGTCCTTAAGTTTTTAACTACATAAAAGGAAAAGACAAAGAACACATTGCAACAAGTCCATGATACACAAGTAACTAAGAAAAAAGAAAGCAGCAGTTAGACCACCAATTCTATAGAAGTTATTTTTCTAATATCTAGTATGAACTAAAGGAGCTCTAGTGTAGAATAAATATTAACACCTAAAATTTTGCTGTATTAAAAAAAAATTGAACATAATTTGTAGTGTAGAAGCAATTTTTTTCTCCTATACTTTCATGAAAAAACCTTTGACTTTAATTTTAAATGTTAATCAAAATTACTCCACCGTCATCAGTAGAAAGTTGTGTGTAGTTCTGTGACAAATTACAAATGCAATATCATTGGCTTAGTTTATCAAAAGCTGCTAATTCCTCAATCTTGTCTGTAATTGCCAGGTTCCCACATCTGTAACAGTTCCCTTTTTCTGGTATACTTTGGGAGAAGTTTGTATTCTCCATAGGCTGTTGGCTGCAGTTCCTGGAAATATGTACTTTTAGGTTAAACTTGAAACGTCATTTCCTCTATTCTGTTAATTGGTTTTATAACAAATCCCGTCAGTTCTTCTAAACTATCATCAGTGGAAGTTAATGTTTTAATACTACTTCATCTGATAATCCCATAACTTTGTAGATAGTGCTTTTAATTTTTATCAGTGACTTTAATGAATCCAAGTTCCATTGCCAGCCAGAGATCTTCCTTTAGAGATGTACTCCTACTTTGCTTCAACCTACTTCTCATATCCTCGTCTGTTATGGCATCTATAAATTAGTTACATATCAATAAATTCATCATTTCAAATAAGCATCAGGGTAAGATAATTGTGCAAGCCTTTCCAATTATTCCACAAGTTTTGCCAAGGTATCTTCTTTCCACAAAACCCTCTTCCAGAACTTTGCTCTGAATACTTCCTTTTGGTGTGTCACTCTAAATTTATTGGATAAAGGCAGCTACTAACACCTCCTAGTTGTTACGATTCTCAACTTGAAGCTTATTTTATGTAAATAAAACTGGTTCTTTAAAATGAATAGCTAGCTTGTTGTTCACTGTGGAAATTACTTGAAACAAAACTGATATGCTTTCCATTGTACCTTTACATTATAGTACATTCGTTTCTTCACTGTGGAAATTACTTCAAACTAAACTGATATGCCTTCCATTGTACCTTTACATTATAGTACATTCGTTTCTCAATCAGATGATGTTGTTAAATAAGCTACCTATATTCCAAAACTGGATTTGGTGGTGACATAGTTGGAGTAGTCCAAGAAGGTCCTACAGTCTTAGATGGCACAACAATAGGTGTAGACCAAACAAGTTCTATTCCATAGTTTATAGTGTATGGCTTTTTTAAGTTGTAATTCTTGGGCAAATGTTCAGAAAGGAGTATGGCTGGTTTAATCTTTGCATTAACCAGTTCATTTTCTAAACATTTTAATCTGTCACTGATGTTTTTTTTTTTTTTACTTCGTTGATCTTGCTGTTATAATCTTTCCAAACCTCATTGAAATCTTTCCTATAGTTTTGTCAGTCTGGTCTTTATTTTTTTTTATTCCTCTTTTAAGTTTAAACATGTCTTATAATTCTTCTTTGAAATTCCAATCTCTTACCTGATTATCTTTTTTTTTTTTCCGTCTTGTTCATCTTTCTATTGTTTTATCATCTCAGGCAAGCTTACTATCTCGTTTTGTGCCAGTGTGGTCATCATTTTTAAGTTAAAGTTTATTAGATTTTTTCTGACATCAGTGTTGTAAGGTGTTCTGTCTTTGAAAAGGGTTCTTCCTGGATTATTCGGTAAAAATAATTCGTAGTTCATGCCACATAACATTAATTTATTTTTTCAATAATATTTACTACAGTACAGGTTATGTTCACTTTGATGCAAGTTGTAGGCCTAAGATCATTAACAAACTTTTCAACATAAACTCTGAAAATACTGTAGTGTAGGCCTTAGGCCTAATTCACTAATAACGTTTAACAGAAACATCCTTGATTGATAAAAAATGCTAACTTATTGATTAGGTTACAGAAACACTAGCTCTCAATTAATAACTTTACTTGATCAATCTTCTCTCGATTAGTGACACACTGAATACTCCAACTAACTAACTGTTTATTCGCATTTATAACTAATCTACCCATGTCTAAATATTAGTTCCTATTACTAGATTCTTGCCATCATCATGTAGTTTCTAGTGACAACTTTTATGAACTTATTTGATCTTAACATCATGCGCCTTCTAGCAAATAGGTAAATTAAAAGAACGGAAATATAGCTTACACCACTATTCTAAATAACTTGTAATTTACTCATACTTTTAACAAGAGATTTGTTTATTGTACTTCTACCACTGAGCTGCCGTAAATATATCGTCTTACTTTGAGTTACAATGCGCTGATAAATACTTTTTATAGTAATTACTAGAAGATCCAGAAAATCAATAGTGTTAACTTTGCACTTCGATGAATTTATCGTTCATCTGACTTGGCATTATGCAAGTTTGTAACGATTTTTATAATTTACTTGTTTTTTAAATAATTGATTCACTCAAATGTATGTAATTATTTACCGTTAATACAAATACTGTCAGCATTTATATTTCTATCGGAAATGTAACGTTCGTTTCTACGTAAAATATAAACTACAAGTGTATAATATAAATTATTTAATCCTGCACGTTTTATCCATGTAAATAGTTGTCTCCCAGTGGCTCAGAGATAGGTTCGCAGGCTTACAACGTTAACATTCAGGTTTCGATATCTTTGGTGGGCAGAGTAAAGATAATTCATTATGTAGCTATGCACTTAACAACAACAACAATCAAAACGAACTAATGCAACTAGTTTATGTTGCTTTTATTTTGTTCAGTATTAATGGAAATTGATGAAATTCTTACAGTATTCTGGAAATATGTTAAGATGTGGGATCCTTAAATTAACATAATAAATTCCATTTGAGCGACATAAATCCGGGAATCTCAAAACAAATTATGGAATATGGAAACAATGAGCGATTAAAATCTCGTTATCACAACATTACCTATGAGTACTACGTAGGAAGTACACAAAATGCTCTCTAACTAAAGAACACAAGTGAAATCTTTGTATCCATCCGCTCAATAAATATTATATTTTAAGTACTTTTACTTTGTTTTTTCAGAGAGGCGTAAAAAAGTTCATACGTAATAAATCAATATACGTAAATGTGTAAATTAAAAAAAAAGATAATAAAGCAAAAATTGTTTTTATTTATTATTATTATTTTATGCAATAATATTCTATTATTAATGTGTTATTTGACCGTGCGCGATGGCAGTGTAGTCTACTCAGCGTGAGTAAGATTTGAATATGTTACGATGGAGTTACGCTGTAACTCATAGTTATTGAGTTAGGTTGTGGTGAAAGTGGGGTTCGAATTGTATTACTAAAAGGCATTATTTACAATTTCTAATAAAAAATTCAATTAAAACTTTTTTCAAGCAATGGAGTGCGAGTTCAAATCTCCTCCAGAAGCTCCAGTTTTTGAGCCTTCAGAAGAGGAATTTAAAGATCCTCTTGCTTATATAGCGAAGATCAGGCCCATTGCAGAAAAAGCAGGAATCTGTAAAATAAAACCTCCACCGGTTGGTAACCTGTTATTATTCTGTCAGAGCATTTCACATTCAACTGATTGTCAGGTTAAAATAGCTACGGTCCTAGCCGTGGTTTCTGTTTATTTAGCGTATCTTTTACAGGATTGAATAATATTGAAATAAAAAATAATAATCTGATACTGCAATAGTGTACTCTTTATAATTATAGTTATAACTTATATAAATTTTATACTTTATAGAATTCCTTGAAATGCCAACTGATATGTAATTTTATTTATTTAAAACTAAACAAACAGTTAAAGATAAAATGTTGTGATACTGTTATTAAAAAAAAGGATTCTGTATTATTTGTAAACTGGTGAATTTAGTCATGTTTCACCCTAACAAACAATAATAAATTGATTTTTGGTACAAAAAATAAGCTCTTGTATCCAAAAAATGAGACTATCAAGTAACATTTTATGTATGTGCTTGATTCATTTTCATGAACATGCATAACTTTCTTCACAGCAATAAAGTGACTCTGAACAATAATCTGAACTTCTTCAGATTGTTGTTGATAAATATGTGGTCACAAAGGAACAAAATGGCAGAGGAAGTGTACTAGTGCCTAGTATGGGCATGTGCTTAAAATATTTTGCTACAATGCATTTGTTTAGGCTGCACAGTTCTAAGTTTTCATTGTATGTAATGTTGCATTTAACTTAGAAATATTTTGATTGGCTGCCTAAGGAACAGTTTTATAAATATTCATATATGAATAAATGTTGTAACTCTGTAATTACTCATATACTGTTTATAATTAATACAATCTTTTATTTGAACAAATAAAAAATCCTTTTTATTTCACTCACACCTTTTCACACAGTGTTGAATAAAAATGACAAATCTTTGTCTTGTACAATATCTCTAGTCCTGATATTGTTTTGTTACATATAGAAAAGATTGATTTTGGTAGACTATTAGTAGTTAGATTTTGATGGAGATTAGCAGTAGTAACAGAAAGGTTTTAAAAAAGCTTATTATTACAACTTCTAATTAATCTGTTGTTAACTTGCCATAGTATTTAAAGTATAAAAAGCTTTGTGTGTAATTTTTATTGTGGGTATTTTAACATTTGTTTCAAGTTGGATTTTAGGTTTAATATGTTTTGGAGTTTATTATGTGTGTTTTTTACTGTGGTGTAGTTTTAAGTTTGTTTCAAGTTGTTTTTTAGGTCTGATATGTTTTGGGGGTTTATTATGTGTGTTTCTTGCTGTGGTGTTGTTTTAAGTTTGTTTCAAGTTGTTTTTATGTCTGATATGTTTTAGAGTTTTCTATATATGTGTGTGTGTTTTTTGCTGTGGTATATTTTTAAGTTTATTTCAAGATGGATTTGTGGTTTTATATATTCCAGAATTCTACTGGAGGACAATACCAGCTAATTATTTCATTGTATTTGTTGTAGTTTTTGGGAAATATTGTATAATCAAATTTTGGAATGTTTATTCCAGAACATAAGGAAATTAGTTGAGTAATGAACAATGAGTTCTGATGTGATTGCATATAAGATAAATTATTAGTGTTTAAAACTGATATTTTAGTGCAGTCAATGTGCTTGATAATCCAAACTCTGTATCCAGTTTCTGGAAATAAACTTTTGATTGACCATAAATTATTCATATGAAAGAAAATCAAATTTCAAATGTTTAACATCTATTGGTGTATGAGTGTTCCTTGTTGGTGTTTTTTAACATCTATTGGTGTATAAGGGTTCCTTGTTGGTGATAAAAAACTCATAATTTCTTACCTTACATTGATAAAATTTAATAACTCATGAATTCATCATATCTGAAACACAAGCATATCAAAAGTACAGTATTATAACCGTGAAATCTTTTAAGATATGAATTTTGATCAGATTATGACTTATAATGGAATAAACATTGCTACGTAACATAGGCTATGCTATGTCATTATGCATTACATCAATGACCATTAATCTTAAAACTGTTTGCATGATTATACAACAATACTATATAGGCCTAATGATGTTAAGCACTAATCCATGTTATTAAAAGAAATTGTGACGATCAATATCATGTAATGTATTAAATCTAACATATTCTCAACTTACATCAGAAGGAGTTATTATATATAGGAGATATGTCAAAGCAATTAATTAAACAAATATGCAAGGAAACCCATTATGTGAAATTATTACCTTCTCATGGTATACAAAAATATAAAACCATTAGTAACTTAGATTATTTAAGGCACGATCACTTTCTTAATGTCGAGGTGACCTAAGAGTAAATTCTAAAATTTACAATCTGTTTAAGGAAGTTCTGTGGCAAATAAATTGAGAGACAGAAAATAATCTGAGCTTTTAGTAGATATATTCATTATTTTATTACCTTGTGAAACTTGAAAGTTATAAAAAAACACGCAGAAAGTTGAATTTTACAGTTTTTCACTTCAATTTCAAAAATTCATTGTTTTTAAGCTATTTGAGCTAAAAATAGGAAATAAACTTATGAAAATCTATCTATTTCTGGCTTTTTTTCATACGTTGACAGGCTGTATATGTGCATACAGGAAATTTATCAATTTGTATCATCTCAATAAAAATTACAGTAGTAGGGGCAAAAATTGAATATTAGAGCTAGCAGTTTTTTTACAGTTACTTCATTCAAAACACGTTTTAATAAAACACACATAAAAAGTGATAATTTCATTTTGTAACTTTATGGAGTAGGGGGGGGAGTTAAGAAACTTTAAATTTTTATGTTATCATTTTGCCTCTATAAAACATATTATGGTTTGGAAAGGGTTAATAATAAAAATTTTATGAAATCATAGTCATAAGGATAACAAAAATGAGTATAGATATTTTATTATAGGAATGGCAGCCACCATTTGCAGTGGATGTGGACAACTTCAAGTTTACCCCCCGTATTCAGAGGCTAAATGAACTTGAAGTAAGATGTCATAGTTTTTAATTTTCTCTTAATTTAAATATTATGGAATAATAAAGCTATGTTTAGAAATGTTTGGTGAATAGAAATACTGTATTCACGAGCCAGTGAACCATAACACATTTTTTGAACAAAAAACAAAATGAATATTTGAAGTGTCTAATGATCTGTAAGCATGTAAGCTGTTTGCTCTATCATATTTCCCTCAAATTATATTTTCTTTTATTACTTGCATTGAGCAGAATATTTTCTGATATCTGTGCTCCTCATGCTTCACATACTTAATTTAAAATGAAAATCCTTATATTCAAACTAAGCCTTCCTAGCTACAAGTTGAGCTGTGGGAGAATTTAACCACTGTTTCTCACCATTTATATTACCTGTCCTGACTGTCTTGATTTTTGTTCAATCCTGTCAGGACTATACATTGTGAGAACGTGTACTGAATCTTTCAAGGGGTCTAAGATAATTAGTTTATACTTTACATCTAATCATGCTCCTCAGATCTTGCTGCATCTATGTTAATAAATTGGCTTGCATAACTGATTCATCTTGTGATATTTCTGAAATCATTACAAATGAATTTCAGGTTAGATGTTGCCAGATTTGCCATTTGATAATGTTTTTAGCATCACTAATTGTATAATATTCTGCAGGCTGGCTTGTGCATGAATTTGTCTGTGTCTATAAAAATTGTACTTCTTTTATATTGCTTCTGTTGTTCATGATAACCTATGTATTTCCATATGACTCAATATCCCCTTTAACAGCTACAGGCGAATCTGGGCTCATGAAATCATTTGGTTAATAAAACAAAGGTACCCTTATAATATGAGGCGTCATGACATGGATATGTTCAGATTGGAACTTTTGCATGTTACATATATCTCTGTGTTTGTTTTCAATGAGATTCCATCCTCTGCACTGGTTCTCCATGAGAGGGTGATGCCATCTGGTGGTTGGTGATGCCTTGGTACACACGTTTCCCACCTCCACATGTAGGTCCTTGCATAGCATTTGAGACATCGAAGATGAGACAATCACTCTCCATGTGATTCTCATAGTTCAAACATCTTACTGATGGTTTCACACATAAATACTTATTGGCTAAGTACACTATTTTATGTATATATTATTTAAAGGATGATGAAAGCTAGGAGGTACTTGGTTGAGAAGAATTCACTTTTTCCTGTCCTTATTTGGTCCAGCCTCTAGCTCTTATGAGCCTGGTCAGCTATAGATGTTTACTTATGAATACCGTCCATTAAATTTACCCATGTTATGGATCCTTGATCACATTTTCAGTTGTTGTGGTTTAGGCTGTTTTCTTCCTGCCTATGACACTAGATTTTGGTTACCAAGTAGATCTTATTCCCTCTTTCAATGTAAATGTGGGTATTCTGGCTTTTTATACTTCGGAGGTAAGTCTTTGTTTTGAATTTGACAGTTGTAGAATTAAAATAAGTTTCATCCACAGTATTTAAAACTTTAGAAAGTAAGTTTACTAGTAAAAAATCAGTATTAAACTTTTTATTGACAGAAAAGTAAAAACTGTTTTCTTAAAGAGAAGCTGTGAGTATATAATTTCTGAATCACTCTGGAAAATAGGATATTTTTTGTCACTGCTTTTTTTTGGAAGAAAAACTAAATAATTAGCCTAATACTTTGAAGATAAATAAAATTGGTTATTAAAAAAAGCTTGGATATGGAAAATGAATTAAAGGGAATTATTATTTCTTTAAATTATTTAACAAATATTTATTTTTAGGCTACCACTAGGACTAAACTAAACTTCTTGGATCAGATTGCTAAGTTTTGGGAGCTACAGGTAAGATTTTACCCTTTAAGTACCAAATAAGCAGACCTTATCAGCATTACAATGCTACCAAAAGTAGTATTCAAGTCAACTCTTGCTTACAGGTGTACTTGCATAGAAGTCAGTATGTGGTTTTTGTGTATGGTATTTAGTGTGTAAAATACTTTTTTTAATATTATGTTAAAAAATGTTTGTGCATTCAAGATTCCAAAACTGTTTTTATAAAACCTTTTGATTGCATGAAAAAAAATTTTCAGGTTAACAATACTACTAACTATCTATTTGTGGTCATTAAAGCAACAGTGTTCATGATTATTGTGTCAAAATATAAAAATCAGTTATTCTGAGAAAAGAAACTTTGATGAATTCAATAAAACCACTGTTTATGGTTCATGTAGAATAATATGATGATTGAATGGTTCCTGGAGCATAACATGATGATTGTATGGTTCCTGTAGTATAACATGATGATTGTATGGTTCCTGTAGTATAACGTGATGATTGTATGGTTCCTGTAGTATAACATGATGATTGTATGGTTCCTGTAGTATAACGTGATGATTGTATGGTTCCTGTAGTATAACGTGATGATTGTATGGTTCCTG